AAATATTGACACTTATTTTACTTCCTAAATAGTTCTCAGTCCTGCCTCTTCCTTCCCCCACTATTGTCATGTGTCTAGTTCAGGCCTTTCCCATCTCTGCCAAGGAGGGATGTCCTGGCCCTCTGGCTGGTCTCCCACTTCCAGTGACAATCCCATCCAATGCATGTCCCCAAGGCTGAATTGTCATGTGTCTAGTTCAGGCCTTTCCCATCTCTGCCAAGGAGGGATGTCCCGGCCCTCTGGCTGGTCTCCCACTTCCAGTGACAATCCCATCCAATGCATGTCCCCAAGGCTGCCAGCCCCCTGGATCACATCCTTCCCCAGCGATAATCTCCCTCGGTCACAGGGCAAAGGTCTAATTCCTCAGGACATAAGGTCTTCTGTGTTGAGTTCCTCCAGCCTACATCTTCTGACACTCCCCTGACACATCCTTAACATTCTAGCCAGTCTGCGAAGCTTTGAACTGCCACACACAGCATTCAGATGCCCAAGTTGTCTCCTCTGCCAAAGATCCCTTCCCTGCTCTGGCTGCATTCTAACGTCCTTTGCCTGAATGAACCACGCCCCTTCCCGTGTGGCCTCCCAGGTCTCTGCTCGTATGACTGTGGCTGTGCTCACACGTGGTACCACCCTCATCTGTTCCCAGGTGGCCCTCCCTTCCTAGACAGTGTCTTTGTAGTCCCTGCTGTCCCACTTCAGTTCCTGACCTGTATTTCTCAATTAACAAAACTGTATGTGTAAATGCAGATTATGTGTCGTGTATACTGCTCAAGTAGCTCCACGGCATGTCTGGTATTGCCGTTATTTCACCGTCACGTACTGTCACCTCCAGTCTAGAATTGAGTTCCTTAAGGACACGAGCCTCTGAATTCCCCCATCACAGTGCTTGATGTATATTAATAAACTATTTACTCCTTCTAGAGTAGCTCAGGTGCCTACCTGGTTTCAAATCTTAGCACCACTATTTATTAGCTAGATGTTCGTGGAGAGGCTATTTAACCACCCTTCGCCTCAATTTTCTTTTCTCTAACACGGGAAGAATTATAATACCTATTGTAAAGGGTTGCTACGAGCATCAAATGGTAGGCAGGGTGATTACATAGTAGAACTCAATACATGACAGACATCATTTCGGTGTATTTATTGGTGCAAATATACTGTGGGAAAGTCCTGCCTCTCAGCCTTTCACATACACCCATTGCCCAGCAGGCCCCCAGCCTTCTCCTTTGCCAGACACCTCTTACGTTCAGCTTGGTCTCCAGAGCTCTCCCGGGAGCATCCTTTGACAGCCTCCTCTGCTTCCAGCCCTGTGCCCCTGTTCTTCTGGAATTTCAAACCTTTCACCCAGGTGTTTGCATCAACCCATTAGGTGGGCTGCTGGACATGAATGGTTGTGCCCACACTAAACCATGGTTGGAGGGGGGTGTTGATTTTGTTTTGTATGGATTGCTGGGCCAGTCTCAGAGGGAAGCAATACTCTCTGAAATTGCAGTCCATGGACTGTCTCCACCAAGTTTTAGTTGAGTGATCCAGTTAGTCACTTAAATTCTCTGGAGCAGCTAATACCTACTTCATGGGTACAGAGACTCAGCTAAGTTAGTAAAGCATTTGCTTTTGGGGGATGGGAAAGTCCAAAACATTAAGGAATGAAAAATGTTAAGTAGCAACTGCATTTAACGTTAAGAGCCTGGAGGTTGAAACAGTGTCTGGTTAACTTTGCAAACACAAAGCATACGCCTGTACCTGGGAACTTTAGAAGTCACAACCCTGTTCTTTCATGTGTTAAGTGTCTTGGGAGGAAAGCAGCACTTTCCTCCAGCTTTCCACTTACCTCTGCAAAAACAAAGGGCGCATCAAACTGGAAGCAGATGTGGCCGTGCTTGACGGCTTGGACAGAGGCGGGACCGCACCGGTACATGCCTGCATCACAGAGGGAGGCAGCGTGAGTGCAGCATCTCCTGTTCCGTCCAGAGCCCAGCGGTTCTTGGCACCGAGGGTGGCTTGCTGGAGACCAGTGTTCCCAACTTCCTCCCTGACTTAGCTCAAGAGCTTTACATGGCTAGAGACAGCAGATGAACTACAAGGGTTTTGATAGAAACGCATCCTCAAACCCAAACCTGAAGCCATGAAAAGAACAGGATGCAACGCTGTTCCTGCTTGTGTCCTCCTACAAACACATAGCCAGGAGTGCCCATGCTGAGATGCTGGTTCGCAGCGTTTATCCCTTTTCAACCAATATCTGAAGTGGTGGAAGTGTCAGTGTGTTGCTGTTGTGTTGCTCTTGTTATTTGTTTTGATTTTTGCTTTTGTTTTTGGTCATTATGGACATATGGCAGGTTTAAGTGGAGAACGGGGGCACTAACCACACACATCAGCCATGCCCAGCATGCATTCTGAGAGTCAGCAGGCCCACGTTTACCTTCCTGAAATTCTTAAAATTTTAACCACCTATCCAGAGTTAATAAGAGATTAGCTGCCATTAGTCACCTCTGAATTCTACTCATTACATACAATCCAGAACACAAGAAAGTGTAGCCCTTTCTTCCTTAAAATCCAGTATTGTCTTGTGATTCCATTATGCATACGTGCTGAATGTTTATACATACATGCTTATACATCTATATCTCATTTCAGCACCTGAGGAAATAAACATAATGTCCCCAGTCCACTGATTTTTTTATATCATCATATTACAGAAAGATGGAGGTTTGTCATGTGAGTTTTTGAAAATCTGGGGGAGGTCATAGCTGCACTGCTTAGCACAGTTGGAAAGTTAGAAGACAAATATCTACATACTGAAGTTTTAAAAGAAATCACAGAACATAAAAATAACAACAATTTAAGAGATGGTCTGTAATTAGTTTTTGAGCTCCCCATTTTCTCTACTGCCTAATATCTTATCACTGCATATCAGGGAGGGCTGAAGTATATTTTATAGCCTAGTAAAAATGCTTGGATGGTCTGTAATTAGTTTTTGAGCTCCCCATTTTCTCTACTGCCTTATATCTTATCACTGCATATCAGGGAGGGCTGAAGTATATTTTATAGCCTAGTAAAAATGCTTACACAGATATTTCTCTCCTGTCTTCAGAACTGCTTATCAAAGCAAGAGTGGATGAATTATACATGTTAAGTTGTATATTCTTTTTCTAAAAGTTGTAAAATAATCAGGATAAAGCTGACTATTGGAATTACACCTGATTGGCAGATCGTTAATACTGTACATGTGCCCAGAAAGCACACTTCTGATGTTGGTTCCCAGTGGGCATGGTTCCCATCAAATGCAATCATGAAGCAAAATAAAGATCAGCAGTGAAGCAATCTCCCCGAGGGGTGATGCAGTTTTACCATCGCTGTTTTCCTGGGGGGTGCTGTCCACAGCTTGCCAGCCTCCAAATCCAACCGGAAGGTCAGGCCTTGTCATCCACGCTTCATTCCAGCAATGGTAGTTCCTTAGAAAACGCAACCCAGCCAGGTTAAACTTCCCATCACATTCAGTGATCCAAGAAATCAAAAAGTGACCCCTAATCCTGTGCATATTCTATCTACAGACTATTGAAATGGATTAAGCTAAAGTTGGGGGCTCCCAGTGATATTCTGGGACTCCAGACTTGAGTTTGTGAGGCAGATCCATTCTCCTTGACACCTTTTGGCAGCACTCACATGGCTGGACACTGCTCTCTCCCTGCTAAGATCAGCTTCAAGGTCACCCAGAGATATTTCAGTCAGTGTGTTAAACAGTTTTGATCTTAACCATTCTTTGCTACCTAATGAAACAGAATTTACCATGTGCTGAAGGGTGAGGTAAGAAAAGTTAACTGAAATCAAAATATTCATCTTTGAATTTCTTTTATATAGTTCCAATCTGTAACAAGCATATTTCTTTACAACAATTAAGCAACAGATGCAAATGCTTCTTGACTTACAATGGGGTTACATCCCAATAAATCCATCATAAGTTCAAAATATCATAAGTCAAAACTGCATTTAATACACCTAACCTGCCAAACATCATATCTTAGCCTAGCCTACCTTAAATGTGCTCAGAACACTCACATTAGCTTATAGTTGGGCAAAAATCACCTAAGACGATGTCTATTTTACAATAAAGTGTTGAATATCTCAGGAAATTTATTAATGCTCTGCTGAATGCATATTGCTTTTGCTCTGTTTTAAAGTTGAAAAATCATAAATTGAATCATCTTAAGACAAGGACATCCATACTTGTATTTATGGTCCTAGACTATTGCCGCAGAAATTATAACATTAACTCCTGACTGAAATTCTGTGTGACTTGTAGCAAATTTCCAGTTGGTGTCTACAAGGAGAAAATGCTGTCAGGGTGCAGGTCTCTTTACCCTTTATCAAAGGTGGGCAACCCATGAGCTAAGAGACACACAACACTCCTCAGAACTTTGTGCATGACCCTTGAATCAAGAGCATGGAATAGAATGTCACATGAATTGTATTGTTATGTCCTTGAAAAGACCTGAAATTACATGATAGTACAGAATCAAATGAGAGTACAGAATCAACATAGACCCCTCAGCACTATAGAAAATGTTCATGTAGTAATGACAATTTAACAATGTGGTGAGGTAGTTACAGCAGTCTTTTTTTATAGCACAGATGAATTTCAGATCCAGCCAGCATCCGTTCTTTCCTAAACGTCCTTCAGTGTCAGTAATTTGTGCATGTTCCCATCTCTCTCTGAGTGTAGCACATCTATGATTGGCTCAATTAAGAGATATTAATTTAACTAAGTACCCATGAAGAACTGGGCACCTTGCTAGATGCCAGAGATTCAAAGATGTTTAAGACATAGATTCTTGCCCATAAAGAGCCTCACAATCAAGGAGAGATGGCAAACGTGTAAACCAATTATTAAAACATGTTATAGGTTTGCTTAATATATAGGTGAGGCTTAAATAAGATAAACATATAAAGTATTTAGAACAGGGCCTGGCATGGGATAAGTGCTCAAAAATGGTAACTCTCAGACTTCTAAAAATATTTCATTGAAGTGACACACGCTAAGATAGAAGTTGTTTTGGGGTGCCATGGAGTCACAGTGGGGGAGTCTCAGGGTCTTAGCGAAGGCTTCTTAGCAGAAATGATATTTGAGCTGAGTCCTGGGAGATAAATGGGAGTTCAGCAGGTTGACAAGAGAAATAAGAACAATGTTGTAGAGGCATGAACTAGACACCATGGTCTGTTTGGTGAATTGCATGCTGTGCTAGAGGGTGGCGTGTTTGCACAGTTGTGTGCATGGGAGGAGAGTGAGAGTAGATGAGGGGCGGGCAGGCAGTTCACCAAATTCACAAATACACTGACACTTCCCATATGCCAGGCACCATCCTGAAAGTTTGGTGCCAATCCTATGAGAATGGTACCATTGTCGTTATCCCCAGTTT